GATTCAAAATCCAACGCTGAGATGTTCTGCCGGAAATCAGAAGCAAGTCATCTTGGCGTTATCCTGGAGCATATTAGGTAGCGGGGAAAACACTTGCAAGGGTAGCTGAAAAACTGCGCAAAGGTACGATCAAAGGTTCCGCAGTCAATTTGGAAAACATGCGTACTGACTTTAACGCAATATATGGCGCAAATCAACTCCCTTAGCTTGACCCTGAACGACTGGTCCATGATGCAGTGAGCTATAAATTGGCAGTCTGGACCTGAAAGACGAAATAAACACTGTTGCTAGAAAAGTGGTAAAATCTACGGCTTAACTTGGACGATCCAAAAGAACCAATGTATGATGCACAAGCAGCTTGTCGGTTTGAGCTACAATCAACCAGCAATCAGTTCATACCTTCTGTCTGCCGTTTGGAAGCTTAGAGACGGTCGGTTATTTCCTTATACCCTCTATCGTCAGGCGTTAATTGAATATCGAATATGAATATGCGTACATTCGTCGGCAATTCATTCCTCGTATGTAATTTTAGAATATCATCGCGTTAAATGTTCCTGCTGTTTCTTCATATATGTTCTTATATATACTCTTTTATTTTGCCCTTTATTCTGTACTGTTGTGGTTTTATTGAACCACGAAGTAAATTATACCGAAATGAACAGTACAAAGCTACGTCAAAGCCCACTACTGTACAAAACTGAAGCGAGTCATAACGATACTACAGTCATCCATTGCCCCAGGGTTACTGAATAAGCCAGTCATGATTAACAGAGGGAACAGTAGATCGTACAAGTAATAGACAGATGCACAAAAGAAAAGACTACGTGTACGAACATTTAATTTAGAACCAGATGTCTTGATGTTATGAATACCTTATAATCTTCTAGAATTATGAAGTATCAAGGTTTCAGAATCCCGGCAATTATGTATATTTGCCTGTCCTGACTAAAATTTCAATTATACTTAAATTCTGAACTGAAAATGTGCTAAATGTTAAACGTTTACTGTACTGGCATTTCAAGTCGTACGATGAGTATCTCTGATTCTAGCATTCCTGTCAGATTGGAAAAAAAAGACTGAGGTGAGAAATCCCCACTCTCTCTATCCCTTCTTTTTTCCTAAATAAGTAGTCATTGTAGCATATAAAAAGTAATAAAATCTTCAAATATCAAAAGAATGCCAAATTTCACGAATGAAAGTCAAACGGCTTACGGGTACTTTGACTGGAGGCCCGACGGCGAATTTCCTGTACTAGGTGTCGACCAAGCCACGTGGTCAGCTGTGGCACTTCTTTGAATTTCTCGCTGAATTCACTGGGGGTAAACGATTCCGTCAGCTAAAAAACAAAGACTCCAGTTTTACCTTAAGAACAAAGACAAGCAAATAAGATTATAGAAAAAAGAGAATTTACTGATCCTTTCTGATAATTGATGGGGATCACAATTGTCCAGTCTCGATGTTCATGCTCGTCTGTTTTCCATATATCTCTGTTGCTCGCCGTCCCATTTGAATCGAGCACTTTCTATTAGGCGCTGGTGCTGAAGACTATCAATGATTCATCCGTCATGCAATGTAGTGTCCGCCGTAGTCTGACTCAAGCTGCACGCAAGGGACTAATCATCAATTACGTTTATGCTTTCCATTCCGTTCGATCTTGAAAGCACCCAACATCTTGCACAGAAAGTGCACATCATGATTGTGTTCTAGATGACAACTCTGTGGAACTTGATCAGCTCGAAGTTTTTTACTCATGAGCTCTGTAACTAACACTTCTTCTCTGGCCGTTTCTCCTCCGCACCACGGATCGGGCCGAATATGACGGAGATTATATACCTATTATTAAATATTACCAGGACCGGCCAGATTTAATCTAAAGGATATCTAGCATTCAGCGAATTCAACCTCAGTGTCTGCGTCATAAAGAGAGCAAGAATTCCTCGGATAAGTCACGTATGATGACAAACACGACCGAGGGATTTTTGCTCATTGTAAAAACCGAGCATGCACCTCATGGCTGCACAAAACGAATCTGCGTAGAGAAGGCTACCCAGACTATTAACACAAAAGGAAGGATCAGAACAAATAATATCGTCTGAAGAAAGCATAGTAATAAACACAGTTCGATTCTTCCGGTTTACAAAGTACTACAAGTAGTAAAGTAAAGACGCTACGTTTTAGCAGTTTGTATGGCTTGGCCTACAGTTGTTTCGTAATTATTCGCGTACTCTATTTCGATATTCAGCTTGAGCTACGTTGAATTGTGCCGACC